TAAACTAGCTTAAAGAGAAGACTAGAGGGTGGGAGAAAGACTAGAAGTGTTACTTTGAGTGATTAATAGCTAAAATTCATGCCACAGTGTAGGAAATTCCAAAACCCTAGTAGAGCTTTTCAAAATTTCAAAAAATCCATTTTATCGTTCTCTTTCATAATAGAACATTTACATATGAAAATGCGCTATTTTTCATAGCTAAGAGTTTTATCCACTATGGCTAATAGTACAATTTTACTAACCTAATTTTAAAAAGTTATACTTAATTTCATACATCTCCAAAATTATAAATTAAGACTTTTTAGAAATTTTGGGATGTCTACATTTTAATGCAAATTTACTCAAAAATAATTATCTTTTGCTCTTTGAAAATCTTTGATTATAAAGACACTTATTTCTTATCTTTTTTCAAGCCCAAATCGATTATAAATCATTTTTCAATGTTTTTAAACACTCTCAAACTCTCTTAAAATATTTTTAACTTAATTAACTTGAAGATTAAGAATTTGGAATATTACAATCAATATTAAGAATACTGGCATTTAAAATAAGAACCATTAGTACATAGACAAAATTGACAAACTAATACATAACAAAAGTCTATGATATCCTATATTCCATAATTCCTTGTCCTTCTCCCTAGTTGGTGTATCCTCCTCTCCCTTTCAATAAGAATGCTCAAAGTGGTATAGCTTGGTTCCCTCATCCACATGAGTCTTAAGGGTTTATAGGGTAGTTCAGAAGGTTGAAGTACATCAGCGCCATCCCTACTCAGTTAGATATTTCTTTAAAACCATTTTATCTATTGGTTGGATCCTTAACCCATTTATGCTCATAGGTATAGCTTATTGCCTAAATCATCTCTCACTTAGGATTAGGTAGCTTGTCTTAGGATCATCATGGTTAACCATGTACTCTTGTGAGGTCCCCTCTTCAATTACCACTTCAGACCTTATCCTGAGATAAAAAATAGGAACCTAAAATTATGCATCAATAGTTGTATTGCAAAATTCGTCAGAGCAAACAAATTATAGGACTAATAAACTATCCACTTACATTAAATACAATCCTAGCAGTGTTTTTATCCATTTTAACTCTAAAACCAATCTCAATTATTTGTCTATCCTTCTCTTTTGTGACCTCATAACCCTTATCTCCATTAAAAAAAAAAAACCTACAATGCATTGCTAGGTTTTGATTACTCTCAAAGAGCTCAATACATTTTGGATTGAAATTCTCAAGCCACCTTTCCTTATTCTTTTCAGGGCCTACTTGTGCATCATTTTAACCTTAATTCCATAAAGTATCCTAATAATTGACAAATACCTATAATCATATATCTAAGCATTAGGAGACGCATTAATATTGCTATCTATAGACCAAGATTGGCATCTATTAGTAAATTAGGCTCTTACCCAAGTCTAAGGGGGATATGTAACTAGAGCTTTTGCTACTTGTTTACTCAGACTTCCCAATTTCTTGATGTTGTCTTTAAAATTTCTCCTTGAATGTACTCCACACACACGCATAAACCTTCTTCTTCAATTATGTTCCCCTCTACCTTTTGCTCCAATTAGCATAAACATGCCTTGCACAAAGCCTATGCTCAAGTTGCAGAAGCATTATCTACATTGTTGAGTTCAACCCTTATATGAAAAAATGCAAGCATTGGAGTTTGAAATATGCAATCATCATGAAAAAAATGCAACCATAAATATACCTTTTGAATGTTTGACATTAAATTTATTTTCTTCCATCTCCAAGCTCTAATAAAGTCTGCAAGTACTGAATGAACCATAACCAATTGATTATGTTCTCCTTCTAAACTAAATCCACAACAATGGGAAAGATTGAGTTGTATGCATCCATCCTAATTACTATTTATAACATCCCTATTGCATGACCTTTCAAGAATGTGCCATCTAATCTAATGAAGGGTCTGCACCCTAATTTGCAACCAACTTGTGAAGAAAAGCAAGCTAGAATAAGAGTAAGTTTGTATAATAAGTTAAGAAACATTAAGTACAATGACAAAGTTATCTTAAAAGCATTAAAGCACAAGTACAGCTTGCCAAACACCCTTCTTCCTTACTTAAGAGCATTTCTACTAAGCTAAACACACACATCTGTACTAGAATTCACTCCCTCAATGTTGCACAGTAAGCTTCAAGATTTGTAAAACTTATAACTATCTTCCATCTCCTCCATAATCATCTTCTTCATCCTTTTACAATTAGCTAGGCTAACTTTAAGTTTCAACTCATCTTGTACGTCCTTCTTTATATCAATGGCCTTGTATTGAGGCCTTTGTTACACTTTCATCTTGAAATAGCTAGCTAGCCACTTTATTGTAGCTCTTTTAATGTTGTAAATCTTAAGGCATCAGTCTCATAGAAAAGAACCTTTACTTTAAACCCATCCTTCAAGGCATACTGAGGAAAAAGGCACCCTTCCTCAGATGTGGCCTTCACCCTCTATGGCTCACTTTTTATTAAGTGGAGCCCTACTCCAGTAGCGTTAACATACTTGTTAATAGCCCTCAATATCTCTTCTTTATTGGTAAAAGTCATGCCCAACATGAAGAAGGTGCTACCATCATTCTCTTTAAACATTCTTCTCTTTTAAATGGGCCCATCATCATCTTCAAAGCCCAACCCAATATCTCCTACATCTTCCTTTTCATATTCATTAAACACTTCCTCATTGTTTCCTTTATGCTTATCCCCCTCATAGTGGTTGTCCTCAGAATCTCTATTGCTACTCTAAGTCTCTTTGCATTATCATCACTTTCATGTTCTTCCTTACTTGATTCATCAAATTTATCACATGCTAACATCAAGTTGCAATTGGAAGTAGGAATAATCTTCTGCAACAGCCTTTTCTTCATCATTTACTTTGACTTCAACACCCTCATCTTTACTTTTGTTAGCCACAATATCATCTTCTTCTATTATCTCAATGTCAAAGGTTGATAAAGGGCCTTTGTTACTAGCCTTATCCTCGAATGATCACCTTTATCTTTTTTATGTTCTCGCTCAACCCCAGGATCAAAATTTAAAATTTCTTCAACAATAGATGGGTACCTACCACGTAATTGGTCACGGGTCTCCTCCTAGTCCTTCTTGCTACACTCAAGCTCAATGAATCAATCCTCTACTATATGTTAATTGACCACTCTATCCCTATTGACCCCATATGACCCTTTATTACTACCATCACCAACTCCAACTTCATTATCAGACCTACTAGAAGCCATTTATGAAAGTTACCCTAAAAAAAATAAACAAGGGCTTTTATAGAAATTCATTATGATGGTAAAGTGAAGAGTTTTTGTCAAAAATTACTCACCTATAAGCCTCGCACTGGACCTTGTCTTTGTCGTCATCTCCAAAGCTTGCAAGATTCCATGATCACATGTGTACCACTTTTTCTACTCAAACTCTAGCCTTAATTAACCTCTGGTCCTAACTTTGATCTGAACACTTCAGGGTTACAAGCAAGGCTCGAGGAGAGAAAAAGGTTAAATCTAGTTAAATGATTTAACATTATATAGTTAAATGACTGAGGATAGGGTTAAATGCTGAATGGATAATATAGATTACACATACCTATGTGGATGATGAGTAGGCAGTCCAGATGGAAGAAAACGATCAAAATCTAAAAGATAACGATTAAAGAAGTCAAAGAGTCACAAGAGGACATTGCACCTAAATAAAAAATATCAAGACAAAATTGAATTAAAAAATACTTTAGGATATGAGGTGCTCTTTGGTGAAAACATCGAGGGCATTTTTATATCTTAACCCATAAATCAATAACATAACACTTATAATATGCATTATTCAAGTATTATAATAATACAATAAAGACTAAACACATGCAGTATTATTAGCAACATCATCTTTATACTTAATTTTGAGTGAGGGACGGATGGAGTTAGAGCCTAAAACTACCGTGAACTAAAATGGATCTATGATGCAAGTGGATCACGTCAATAGATTGACGATTTGGAGCTGTGAACTGCTTGCGTGTGGCTATGTTTAATGTTACCAATGTGTAGTGTTTTGTTTGTTTGTGTAGTGTGCATTGTGCTAGGGTTTATTTTACTTTTTTAATTTGTATTTTTTTGACCAACGTCTTGGGTGCAAAAACACTTTGGGTTTTGATATGACATGATTACTTTTCTTTTGCATGGCTTATTCATGGCTTTGTATTTAAAAATATATAATTTTGTATTTTAAATTTTCATAAAATATGAATTGACCTAAATAGATTAGCCCTTAGCCATAAAGTGCTGATCTTTTTATTTTTAGGTTCATTAAGGCCAACCCTTTTAAGGTTGGTCACCCTCCAAAACTCTTAAATTATAAATCCAACCCTAGCTAATTATGGGCTTAAACAACCAAATAAACCTAATTTATTTTCCTAATTCTAATATTCAGTTTAGCAATGTTTGCTTTGCTCCTTGTTGCAATAATATTTAAAACATTCACATCTGAGTGAAATTAAACATAGATTTAAAATTTTTAAATAAAAAATTGAAAGTTAAATATTATTTTTTTTACAGTTATTAAAAATATTAAAGTAACAAAAATAAAATCAAATCTAATTTTGATCACTCAAATTCAATCCATATGGTCTAAATTAATGATAACCACTCCATGCTCATCCATGGAAATCATTTTCTTTGATAATGCCCTGATACCTTCTCATTAAATGATTCATTCTAACTGGTTCAAATCGTGGGGGGAACCATTCAAAGCTCATTTTAACAAGTAACCACCATTATATTCACATCTTACCAATAAATGCTATATCCAATAATATCTATCTACCTATAATCCTATGTACAAGTTCACCATGTTTATAAATCATGAACTACTGTATAGTCATACAAAGTGAAGCTAAAGTCATAGTCTATTTATTTATTTTTTATTTTTTTTAAAAAATAAACATTTGCATGCAATGTTATTGGCTTGTTGCGGCTTCCAGTAAATTCAGTTCTGTTGCGTTGTTAGGTATCAACCGCCAAAATTATGATCGGCGAAAGGGAACCAGTCTGTTTTTAAGTGGTTAGTGGCGTCGTTAGCAAGTCGCAGTCCCCTACAAATAGCCCCCTCCTCCTCCTCGTAACTTCCTTCCTTCTTCACGGAGCTACTGGGAAAGTAGAAGATCAGAGTGTCATTCAATGGACGCGATCGTGGTTGTTTCCGAGAGCAAGAACGCTGCTGCCGAACAATTCAAGAATGGCGTGCACGAGAAGTATGACGCTGTTAATGCAGGCAGTGAGAGCGAGACTGCCGCCTTTACTGCTGAGCCCCAGTCTTATCACAGGAAGGATCACCAAATTCATGTTTCCAGTAACAAGAAACCCCTCCTCTTTTACGTCAATCTTGCCAAGGTATTTTTAATTCTTTGCTTCATTTTATGCATCTTCTTTTCCTGGCGCCATGAACCAAAGAAAGATACAAGGCTATCTATTTTTTTTTAATTCAATTTTCTTTTTCGTTTATCTGTTCTTGTTTATCTCTGTTTATTGGAGTTTAAGATGTAATCGAAGGCCGTCTCTGTTTTTTCTGCTTATCACATGTTTTAGGAGTCGCTTATTTACCATTTTTTCTTTAAATATCTGGTGATTTCCGTTTCTTTTAGTCATTTTTTCCGTTTTAATTAAAGGAAATTGAGTGATCTCGAGGACAGTTTCTTGTTCCTCTTGAGAATAATAGGTTCTAGATGATCTGTTAAGAGCATGAAGGATTGGACTATTTCTTCATTGTTTGCTAAGGTTTTGATATAGCATTTCTTTTGAATGTAGAAATTCCTAAACCAGTATAAAGTCGTTGAGCTCTCTGCACTGGGCACGGGTATGATATCTTGAACTATGTTGCCATCTAATCAATATTTTCCTTTTCAACCTACATCAACCTACATCTACTTTTGTCTTGACAGTCGCGTATATAAAGTAGTATGAGAATATTCAAATTCTAAATCGTGTTTTTGAAAGAGTATTATATCAATAGCTGTTAGATGACGTTTCAACTTTCGTTAATCCATTATCTCTCATTGACTGACTTCATTCTTTAACTACTGAATTCAGCTATTACAACGCTTATAATCATCTCCGAGAATTTGAAACGTAATGGTTTGGCTATTCAGAAAAGTAAGATCTCTATTCCATACCCACCCTCTAAACTTGCCAGTGACAATGTTTATGATTTAGTGGGATTGCTTTTCTTATGGTAAATATTGCAGATGTCACAATATCTACTGTTGCATCTAAGGGAGACAAAACAGGTCGACTGTTTTACAAGGCTAAGGTGCTTTATCTGCTCCACTGATGTATAAATTCTCTTCAAACATAAAATGCTGCTAACTCTATTATTCCTTTCCACAGATTGAGATTCTGTTGGTAAAAGCTGGACAAGTGGACCAAAGTACTGATGCAACAACATCTGAAAAAGATGCCGACAATAAGGCCATAACAGAGTAGAGCCGGGGAGCTTCATATTCTTGTCTTTCACCGTTTAAATCGTATAATAGATATACAACTAAGTAGCTGATAAGGAAATCACGATTAGTGATTCTTCCATCCTAGTTATGAAGAGATACGGTAGACCTCTGCTTGGAGCACATGAACTGTATTCTATCACCACAGTAATCAGTACATGATCGTTTTGTTTGACCGTGTGGTTTTTGTGTCTTGATCAGGGGCAATTCATTTCTGCTACTCCTTGTAAATGTACTTTCCAGTTTCCATTTTATCCGTGTATGAGGTGTCCCTTGTTTCTTATAGATACACTTTCTAGATAACTGCCAATACGATGGAATACATTTTATGAGGATTGGACCCTTCACTCTTTCTCTGGGTCACTTACAGGCACGTTCAAGTTAATAATGCTTCAAACATTAGGTTGTATCACCACAAGATTACATCTCAAATCTTATGATAGGAGGAAATACAAAAACCCTAATAAAAGATCTTATTGAAGGGACAATTTGGCCAGGGTGAGAGCCAAAACCTTTACGCCATTTGATATATCTTGAATGCTGGCAAACTCTTCAGGTTTATGGCTGTATCCTGCACGTATAAACAAGATAGATGAGAATGATGATAAATCTTTTTCCTTGATTTAAAAATTAGAAAAAGATAATTTGTCTATAGGCTCTCTGTTCACCAAGTTCGGACTCCAAAGTCTGCATCCACGTGAATGTATCAACATTCAAAATAAGGGATCACAGATAGTGGGTTCCACGTTATAGATGGAAGCAGATAGGTTGCATGTCATGGCAATCCATTCTTCCACGAGTAAAATTACATAAAACTGAAAGTACTTTTCGAATGTTATTCATGTTCAAATCAATTATTACATTAGAAAAGCACAAAATATTTTTTCTTCCTCTTCCATTAGCCTAAATTATAGATCAGGGAAAAAAAATCGAGTGCGCTTACCTCTGTAACAAGGGATGAAGATCATGCCCATTGAAGATAACCTGCAATAGCATGAAACAAATTAGCATCAGATATATATCTAACATAATATGAGCATTGCTTTGTATAGTTAACAATACTATAATTGCATTAAACTACGCTAGAGCAGTTCAGTTAGCCCCTGTCAGTTCAGATTGAGCAGGATTAGAACAACTAAATCCACAATTAGCGTGGTGCTCTAAAGAAAATTTTCCTTCTTCGCTTACTCTCACCCAACTAAATTTAATTTATATTTTTCTTGCCCTCGGGTGAAGATAAAGTGGCCAAAATGTAATTTAAGATTAGGCTGTTACATATATAACAAACTTTTTTTCAGCCAAATACATATATAACAAACTTTTTTTTTCAGCCAAATACATATATAACAAGCTCTGACTTTTAAAAACGTGTCTATCTAAGTAATTACCTGGCCATAAACAGGGCATCATGGTAGGCTCTACTAATCATCAGCTTGCTTGTTAGGTCGAGCTCTCTTGTTGCAGTTTTCATTGCCATTATGACTTCAGCAGCAGAAGTTGCCGGGGGATCCTGATTGATGATATGAAACTCCGAAAGCTTTACACCTCGAGTTTTGGCAATTCTAATTGCTGATTGGTGAATTTTCTCAATAACTAGGTTCCTTCGTTCTTCATTGATGTCTCTTGTGTCTGCCACAACAAAAATTCAAAAATGTGAAAAAAAAAAAAGTATATGGTATCAGTGACTTGAATCTTACATTGGAAGATTAAGCAAAACCGCAACATATTTAGATATCCCAATTAAATGTACAGAGAAAGAAACAGGCCATTACATGGAAAAACTCCTAGTAATTAATCACACAGTAACTACGCCAAGTATGCCGGCGTTGTCCTTCAGATACATACCAATTTCCAAGTGGGACTTGCTAGGGATGCTGTTGATTGCTCCAGGATGCAGTTCCAGGATACCTTTAGACATTGGAGAACACGTCATGGTGTGGAGTCAGTTTAGAAGTATGTAAGAATATGCTTATGTATGAAGGAAATACTACTTACCAACTGTACCAACAGTATCAATAGAACCAGATTCCAATACATGTTTCTCAACAGCAAGCGCTAACTCAGCAGCTGCTAGTCCAGCATCATTTCTGCTTCATACGAGGTTTAGAGAAATTATAAATAAAGCATTAGAGAGTTCATTAATAACAGGTGCTGGTACATCATGTTTATTCAAATCAACAATTTGATTAAGGAGACATATTTGAGTAAAGGTGACGCAGTACTCTTTGAGAGAAGGGAAAATGACAATTAAGGATCCCATATGACCATTACTTACAATCAAAGACCCTAAATTATTGAAATTCCAATAATGAACCATGGTCCTTACTTGGAATTAAAAACATATATGAGTTTATAAAATTGCCCTTGATTTAATGTTGAAAACAGCTGATCAAGTCTCACTTTAAAAATCAAGAAAAGACACTACTTAAATTATTATTATGAGTTAGGACTATTGTAAAGTTGGGAAAACCAAGTTATCCACATTTGAAAATAAGATTAATAATAGTCTCAACCTATAATAGTAATTTTAGTAATCCCAACCCATAACAATTGGGATCTTATTTTTTTCCAAGTGAAAACAATAATTTCAACCCATAATAGTAATTTCAATAATATTTTTTCTTGATTTTTCAAATGATTTACTTATATAATGACAAGCATAAAAATTTACAACTGATTGATTTCATATTCAGAAGTGACTTTAGTAAATTTTCAAGTAATTATCATATATTCACAAGTGCTTTTCAAAAGTTTTATAAGTGAATTTTAATTTTACATTGAAAAACAACCTATTCCCAAGTGTGGATCCTAGTTTTCCATATTGAGATTAAAAATAGTCCCAATTAATAATGGTAAATTCAATAGTGTCTTTTCTTAATTTTCCAAGCTAGACAATTAGCTATTTTTCATGTTTACTCGAGGGCAATTTTGTAAACCTGTACATTCCTTCCAATCTTATTTATAAGACACCTTTTAGAAGTAACTTTTGTTCCAAAATATAGGACACCTTGTAATGATCAAATTACTTTTTTCAATTTTATCCCTTCTTGATTAATGTAAGGGTATTTAATGTAGTTGCATTATTATTTAAAATCAAGAGTAAAAATGAAAGTACATATCACTTTTTTATTATATTAAGAAAAAATTAATTTTTTTTAAAATGCGTGAAATAGTTGAAAGTGTCCCAAAATAAAAATTAGAGGGAGTATGTTTTCAATTCTAAGTAAGGACAATAGTCCATTATTAGGATTTCAATAATTTAGGATCTCTAATTATAATTAAAGGTCTTATGGGGTCCTTAATTTTCATTTTCCCTTGAGAGAAAGTTGAAAATTCAAATAACCGAGTGTGACACCTAAAGGGATCAGGCGATGGTAGGTTTTTTGCCTAACCAGATGGTAAGCTACTGAAAACTACAATCCTTTCACTCGACAATCATGGAAGGATTCAATAAATCATTAAAAAGAAGAAATTTTTCTTGGTTCTACTGATTGTAACAAAAAAAGAAAAAAGAAAAAAGAAATTTAATTCAAAGTGCAATCCCCCAGTAAGAAAAGAAAAGAAATCGCATTTAAACATAGTAACTACCTATTAGGCATTAGGACAGCGCCTGCATGGCCACCATTGCCTTCAAATTCGACCTTCAGGCTTGCTGGAGCTGCAATTGCTGTAACTATGCCTATAGATATACCTGGATCAAGAAAAAAAAAATTATAGATGGTCACTGAAGCTATAGCTGAGGCAAGGATATGCTATTAAAAGTTAATTGTACCTTCTTCTTCCAGAATAGGACCTTGTTCTATGTGCAGTTCTACAAAAGCAGAATATGTTCCTTTGCTTAAGAATACACTAGACAAGTCATCTTCATGTTTTGCATATCCAGCAGATATGGCAGCATCTAAAAAAGATATGTTTTGACTATCAACTGTTGTCTTTAGAGCTTTTACAAGATTCTCGCTCCCAGCCAGCAAGCGGCTGTACATAAACAATTAAAATCAAACAAGAATGCAAGTCAATAAAATGATACGTCCACCCATGTTGGACTAGTCAATCTGAAAATGGTGAAAATATTATAAGTTGGAATAGAAGTGAATTAGAGATTTATAAATTAGATAAAAAGACTTTCTCAAAGTGTGAGTCCTATTATGGGATAATAATTGGGGGTGTTACTGACCTTCCCAAGCAGCTGATACCAAAGCGAGTAGGCTCTTCGGATGTAAATAATATGACTTCCAACGACCTTCTAGGTTTAAACCCAGACCTGTGACAGTTAAGTCAACATCAAACATTATCACTACTTGACCAAAGTGAACAGTGAATGGACATAGGAAATTAATACCTCCAGAATTCAGATCTTCCTAAAACTAGTAAATCCAAAAGGAGATATTTATTAGTTAAACTTCTCATTTTCCTCTTCTTGTATATTTTGATATTAGAATATAGTTACTCGCAAGAGCATAACAAGCATAAACCTCATTAAGTTGTTGATAAAGTGATTTGGACCCATTATTTGGATGATTGACACCCAAAATCAAGCCTAAAATTCTTGCTTCTTTCACAAGTCCACTCACATGCAATATTTTATCACTAAAATATACAACATCAATCATTTTTTACATCTTAAATCTGCAATAATAGAAAGAAGAAGAACTGATGGTCACAAAATATGCGTGGAAGTAGCATCAGCGAAACATTGAAGTTTCATAGGCACTGTCCTCGTGAAACCCAAAATTGGCATCTAAATTTGAAAAACCTTACCACCACTGAGGAACCAATAAATCTCATATTTGTTTAAAAATATGATAAAGAGAAATATCAACTCAATCACAGTTTTCATTGGGTTAAGGCTTGATAGTGCAGTTAATATGTCAATTTTTTTTTTGGTAATGAAAAACAATGAAAGGTCAAATAATAGTTGAAACTGAGATGCTGGAGATTCTAGGATTGCTTACCACTAGGAAGTGAAAACCAAACCATTCAGTGCCAATACAATTGGCTAATCTGAATTTAAGCTAGATCAGGCCCCAAATGAAAAGAAGTTCCCTGACGTGACCCTTTTCATCCACATGGCCCAAATTTGCTTAAGGAGTATTGAGTTTTTTACTACTACACCCTACTACTATTTGTTTCATATGCACACAATTTACAAGATCTTAAATTTGCATTTCCAATTGAGCAAAGAAAATATCTGCAGTTAGAAGAAAAATATAACAACCTTTTTAGGACGTTAATGGCTTCTATGGCACCTAAAACTCCAATAACTCCATCATATTTCCCAGAATAAGGTATAGCATCAATGTGAGAACCTGTTGCAACTGCAGCAAGCTTGGGTTCTTGGCCATCCCTGCATAAGAAGTAGCTAATTAATTACAGGTACTCCATAACTAAGGTTACTGAAGATTCTGAAGTTTACATGAGCTTTAGGATTAAGTCAGGGATGATTAATATGAATACAGAGATCAGAGATATTTATAGCTCCAAATCTTGAGCAAGAGGCTTGTTTGGCTAAAAGTTTATCCGCTTTAAATATAATGGACCATATTTGAAGAACAAGTAGAGACTCACCAACGACCAAATATGTTACCCACAGCATCCTCTCTAACTGAAAGACCAGCAAGTCCCATCAAGTTTTTTACATACCTACAGATGGAAGACAAGAACAAGGCCTAATATACATATACGTTCAAAGAAGATACACAATATACAGGAATTTACCATTTTTTCCTATCAACGGGCACGGGGCAGAAAAGACCACAAATTCCACTCATGTATGTATGTTGTCATTTATCTTGTTTTGTATCGTATATTCGTTTCACCCATTTTATTAATATTTGACTAAGCTAAATAAGCTTCCATATGTCATGTTATGTACAACTTACGCATCAAGATACATGTTTTTGGAGATTTCTACACGAACAAGAAACTATACCAATTTCTTGCTCATCGTAATCATCACAGAAAATAGCATACGGGAAACTATTTTTACTTGCCTGCGAGCTAAAAGATCCTTTTCAGTATACAAGACCCTGGTTACTGATGGAGCAGGTGTCTCAGAGAAGGTCGAAAGCTCATCAACCTATGGACAAATGCAGTTCTAAATGTTAGAAGAAAACCAACCATTGTAGTCAATTCATCGAATATTAGTTCACTACCTGCTTCTGCAGACTCTGGGCATCAACGGATAGTGAAGAAACCGACCTTGGAATAGAAGAATGAGGTTCGTGAATTGGATAACCGGAGAATTCCTCCATTGTTCTGATTGATGGGTCTTCATCTCCAAGAGTTGAAATTGCAGAGAAAGAACATAGCAAGAGAAGAAGTGAGAGCCCTGGAGTTATCATCATTTTCGGAGTTTGTTGATGATAATTGAACTGATCATCAGCAATTCAAGGCCTATAAGATTCCTTTGCACGTGGGCCCTGGGGATATGCCCTTATGAGATGAAAATACCTAAAAAATTTATAATATAAAAAAGTTACTGCTTAATACTTTAATAGCGCCCTCACAGATATACTACCCGGCTCTCAGCGTTAGCGCAAAGGTAAGGGACGGTGAGCGTAGTTACTGCCCGCTTTTGAACCGGAAAGGAACAGAAGGCGGGAAAAGCCTCAAACTTTTCAATTTCCAGATTCTTATAGGGGAAGACGACGACTCGGAAATGGAGACAAAGAGGCACACATGCCTGAAGATCCAGATTCCTAATACCGGCGACCCCACTGATGCTGAACCCATATTTGTGAAGGGTACTTGGTATGATACCCGCTTTGACCTCTCCATAACAGATGGCCTCAATGCTTGGGTTTGTCATGGTAGCGATTTCTTTCCTCAATTAGAGTCTTTAATTGCTTAGAGCAATTATAAAGTGAAGTTCTTATGCTTCCTTTTCTTAATGTTTTTGGTAGCATCGGAGGAGGAGGTGAAGGATCGGGCTGCTCAGTGGGACCAGCCGGTATCGGAGTATGTGCACCTGGCTGAGAGATACTTAGGGTTTCAGCAACCTGATTCTATCTACGGATTTGCTGATGCCGGTTATGGGCATAAAAGAGTAAGTGCTTATATTTTTTTGGCCATCAGTAACTGCTTATGTTGTTTGTCTTCAAAGGTTGAAAATTCTATGGCATCCAATTTGACCAAAAAACTACTTTTTCCCATTCCTCAATTCTCTGAATGTGAAGCAGTTGTCATGGACATTCGAGAAGGAAGGAACTAAGCTGCAATGGAGATGGAAATGCCAGCAGTCTCCTAATAGTAAGAAAACCACGGTGGAAATACTGGACTTTCTTATGGATGCCAACATAACATTAAGTGTAAGACTCTGCATTACCCTTATTAATCATCATGCATACTTAACAGGAATGTTATCTCAGTCACCCTATGGCATCCACTCCTCTGGACATTTTTAATAGTTTGTGGTGAGCGTTATTTTGGAGATGTCATATTTAAGCATATTTGGTTAGCTCTGTTACATGGAGATTCAGTTGTCCTCTCTGGTATCAGTCTTATTTAAAACATTCCGATCAACAAACGTAGGTAGCAGCATTCCTTTTATACTGATTGCCACGCTTTTTAGGGCACATCTATGTTAGAATTGTGAGCAACTAGTAGAAATTTTATGATGATTGAGAGAGGGAGGGGAAGAGCACTAAAGTTGCGTTAATTGACGGACAGCTTGAGTAAAGTTTTTCAGTTTAACTCATCAAATTAATTATTATTGTCTAGGAAGAGATTGACTTATCCAATCACTTCCTGAAGTTAAAAGAGCATGAGTTTAGCCAATAAGTGAATAACTCGTGGTACTAGCCTCATTGAGGCAAGCTTGGTGTCCTTGAGTTCATTCGTTTGTCTTTCCCTTCAGGTTGTGGATCTCCCATGCAACCTAAAACTTAAGAAGAGCATGAGTTCAAATTCTTGAAAACAAATTTGAAGACTATAATGGTGAGATAAGTAAAAGGCAGGAAGAGGAGTAGGAAAGTTGAACAAGAAAGGTAGGCAAAAGAAGAGATTTTGGTTTCATTCATTGGTATGGTATCAGGTCAAAATGAAGGAAAGATTTATCGAAAAATGACTTTATGTTTTGTTGCCTAGTGCCCTAGTTGAAAAGGGGAGAAAAGCACCCACGACAGTTGGGTTGAGTAAAATGGAGAAATCGGAATGATCATAATCTTGATAAACATTCATACTAGAATGCTTCATTTATTTTTTCCCCCATTTAATGTATTATATTTTAAGCCCTCTTCTTGCCATTTGTAACACGTCTAATCTCATTTTCTTACAGCATTATTTTTGTTGCCCTGAACATAACAAGGGGCAATCCTGAACCAAATATTTTTTCCAAAAGCCATGTGAAATGAAATCAGCTTTGCTGTGACTCATGAACTTAGGCTTGGCATGGCTTGACGATTCCCAATTCTTGAGTGGATCTACCTTGATAGTTTGGCCGAGGTTCTTTTCATCATCTTGTAAGTAGGCTTGCCTACAACGTAGCAAAATAAAGTCCTCAAGATTTTTTTTTTTCATAATATTTGCAACTTTAGTATATATTCCCTCTAGTCCTATTTATGGAACACTTTTAATCAAATCATGCAAATTAAGAAAGGATGTTAAAATTAGAGTATTTTGATTTTTTTTTTTTGAAATTTTTTATGGAAATCCCAAATTACCCTTAATTAAAATTATTAATTTTATCTTTAAATCTTAAAAGTCAAACGTACCAACCAAATGAACCAATTCGATGTGTAAGCATTTTTGAAAATAACTCATTAATGCTTTGTCAAGTTTTGTAAGGTATCTTATATTTAGTGTCAAACAAAGCTTCTAGAATATGTCTTATATTAAGGGGTGGAGGGAGTGGTGCCATTTATTGGATGTCCTGCCATGTGTCTGAACTTTTTATGAGGAAATTTTCTCTGACAAACACGCCTGATTGCATGTCAAGGCCTCTTATATTCATTCTTTAATCTGAAATTTGAAGTTTTAGTTCTCTGAAGGACAAAACATTTCCAATGATGTGCTATGTTATCAAGGAGCATTTCCCATGGTACAGCTGGATGCATTTCTCATGTATGTCACATTATTTGTTTGGACTGGGAAGCATATATAACTTTGGGGCATTTGAGTAACAAGCAAATAAATTGGAAAACTATTATGTGGCTGATGAGTTTCAATCACAGATAGAAGGGATCAACATTTCATTTCAACAAATTATCCAGGCTAGTGGTTCAAAAGGATTGAACAGATTTATGATAGTAGGAAATCAATTGCTTTTTCCCATTTTTGCCGCTATAAATTTATGTCCTTTAAGAACATGATTAGGGAAAGAGATCACTTGTTCAATATGTTGTGGGGTGTTTGTATGATTCGCCATTTTATAAAGCAAGTAGGATCGGTTCAGACAAAGCCTCTCCATTTCCTTAGTTTTAAACATTGTAATTACGCGTGTCTACATTAACTACAGGAAGAAGTTGTCAGAAAGACTGAGTCATTTGAGAGGATGAAAGTGGAGGCTGAGAAGTGTTTGTTCCAGAGTGAAAGATTTGCCAATGAAAAAGTAGAATTTGAATCTGAAATCTATGCAAAGGTCACTTCTGAACTCTATTTTATTTACATTTCTGCTGGTTGATTTGGGGTAGGAAAAACTTAAATGTAGTTGCTCATATCTTTGTTACTAGGTTTTTAAATTAAAATATGATGATTTTATGATTCTCTAATGATGTCATGACAAGTGTTTGATTTTTTTTTTTCCTATATTTTTTCAATGAAGCTATACATTTATTTTGGTATTAGCATAAAATGATAAACTTGTCATGTTATAATTAGAGAACCTGATAATAAAGATACAAGAAAATACACTCGAGTCTGATCCTTCAAAGTATTGCTCTGCTTGGTTACTGGGCAATTTGAAGTATCCCAAAGAAGGCAGTACGGGTTCTTGCTCTCTGTTTTCCTTTTTCCGCACATTATTAGTTGACTGACCAGGTTTTTGTCTGCTCCAGTTTCTAGAAGTCTTGAATTCAAAGAAAGCGAAGTTGAGGGAGCTTCGAGATCAGATCTCTAGAGGAGAAGCTGCTGAAAAATCTCCTCAAGAGCAAGACACAGACAAAACTGAGAGTTTTGGTGATGAAAGCGATGAAGAGGAAGCCACTTTCAGTTCAAGGGATGTTTCAGCAAGTAAACCTTCGCAATCACACCGAAAGAGAACTTCACGCAAATAATGCCTGCACTAGTTTGAGCAAATTTCCACCTGAATTGACCTTTATTTTCCCGTTACTTGTTCTATATGGCAATGGAATCCTGTAAATATTGTTAGTCTTCTTTAGCATACCGGGTTTTATTTGTGTTTTCTACACGAAGAAACTTACTAATTATACCATATTAGATTATGAATGGTTGAATATCCCTGATCTGCCTTCTTGTTTGAAATCGCGATCTCAAGTTGATTTTATCACATCACATATCATCATATCTTAGATGCTGGACTGATGACTGTGTTTGATATGTCGTTATATGATACAAGATAGTTTGGTATCTGAGATAACACATCTGGTATCATATCCTAAGCGAAAGTTATCATCCAATGACAGTCAAGCTTTTTAAGATTTAACATCACATTACTAAGATGCATTTTTTCATTTACTACATGAAGCGTAGACCCTTGTGCTGAGTTGAATTTGAGGTTTCATTATCGGGTTGTTAGGAGTTTCAACAAATCCGTTATAGACTTTTAAAAGCTTCGTGATCTGCCATCACCCCATCCTTTCTCCTTTAGAATTTATGCTATGTCTGCAGAAATAAAGCTCAAGTCACTCAACAATGCCTTTACATAAAACATAAAACTTAATAAATGATTGAGCCAATCATCGATCGACAGACCAGAATAGTCTGGTTTCTTTTGAATCTTTGTTGGCTTCATCTATTGCAATTTTTAAACTGTGCAAAATGACCCCAATATTTGTCAGCCCAAGTTGGGTTAAAAACTGCTAAGCAGCATTATGTGACAATGACAAGCAAGTTGAGTTGATGACCATTGATTGCAATCTGGAGTCAAACATGGAATAAGGCTACCACCATACCAATTACCAGCTACTCACGGAAACAAAGGGAGAGTATGGTGATTACCGCAGCCTTGAGTATAAACTAAAATCTAGCTATTGCATTAAGTTTCAAAGGTTAGAACAGTTTCAGAAAATAATACGCATTTGTTAGACTGCATGCCAGTCCCATCCTCGATTAAAATCTAAACAAGACCAAGTAGGAGTCGTAAATCATCTTGTTTTAATTCAAAGAAATTAAGTTTGCAAGCTTCACTATAGTTGTCATGATTTTAACATTGACAACGGATCCGATTTAAATTTGTGCGTGTGAATGAAATGACAAGCTATGATCATGAACTAGGAAAGCGTTTTTGAATTGAACTGAAACTGTTCATTTAAATATTTTGAACGGGAGAGGAGAGCAAGTCAAAGTTTTCGCCCTTCCCAATCCTATTAACAGCTAGAGATATTTGACTTTTTATAAGTTTCAAGATAATCTAATTAATTTCGTCCGTTTTAGTGGCAATAATAAGCACAAAATTAAGAGAAATACTTAGATAGATCAATACACTACATCATTTATAATTTATCCAATTAAAATGTTTCAAATAATCTAAATAAAATTTTATATGATATTTTTTTAATTAATTTTATTCTCATAATAGAATATACATTTAATTTCTTACCTTTTATTTCTCTATTATTATTAATATTATAATTAATTTATATTTAATGTTATATAAATGTTATATTTTTATTAGGCAAATTATAAATAATGTGGTGTATCTGATCTATTTAAGAAGTTATCCAAAATTAAAGCAATTGTGTGATGTATAGTGCATATTTAAAAGTGTAGTTTGAAGGCATGGCTGTTTTGTTTACTGATATTTAGCAAGTCTTAAATGATGATTTTAATTTAATTAAACATCTATTTTTTAAGCAACCGATCAATTATGGTTCGTTGTAAGATATACATATGAGCAAGGAGTACAAATCACTGGTCCATCTATTATTTGTTCCACACGAATACTTTTCCTTCATTGTGATGTATACATGGATTAAGGACTTCTAATTTATTAAACATCGATTTTTGGTACATGTAATTGATAGTTTGGTTGAATTATTAGCCGCTGCCGTTATAGGATCAATTATGGTTAAGGGGTTGTTTGCACATGGATTGAAATTCAGAATATTAATTTTAAATAATTTAGTCTAATATAAAACATAAAATTTATAACAAACCACATAAGGTATAATAAGACTTATTTTTTAAAATCTATGAATGAGAAAACATGTTCAGTACGTTGTAATTTTATCATTGGCATATTGGCATATTCCTTTTTGTCTATATATCTTCTTTCAAAAAAAAAATTCAAAAAAATGAGGCTAGCCAGCTAGATGTAGAGGATCGGATAAGCTTTCCCATTTATTTATATGCACAAGCATGAAAAGAAACCAAATGGAGAAAGTTGAAAACAAGAGGATTGGAGAATAGTGTGTCAAACTTGAACATTGACTAATCGAATTGAACTAACATACGTACACAAAGTACAGCAATATGCTTGCGATAAACGAGAACACCTAGAAACTTCCCAGCATCGCGAGAGACAAAGTCAAGATCCCCATTACTATAAATAGCCACCCCAACGTACAGAGCAACGCATCACAATTATCACAAACAAAAGACATAAATAAGCTTTTATTAGGAAAATCCCCAAGTTGAAGACATGTCTGACGAATGCGAAGGTACACAGAGAACGTTGTAATTCATAATGTAGTAGCCAGCATCATCTTTTATTTCTTTTTCTTTCTTGCAGCTGGTATTACAGTGTCATTTCAACAGTACAAATCAAATATTTCTTATGTGTCAAGTGATACTTACATGAATCTGTTTGTGAGTGAAGGTAAGAGTTCATGGCCGGAGCTGGTGGGGGAGAAAGGAAAGAAAGCAGAAGCAACAATAGAGAGAGAGAATCCGTTGGTGAATGCCATAATTGTGGACGAAGGATCCATCGTCACCACTGACTTCCGATGCGACAGGGTTTGGGTTTGGGTGAATGGTGATGGCGTTGTCACTGAGATTCCCAAGATCGGATAGATCGAACAACCTCAACTGCTGCTGATCTATTCGTTGTTATCTATTCTTCAACACCTCCATGTCATCGGCTCATATATAGCCATGGAATAAGGAGTTCATTGTTCAGTTCTTATTTTCTATCCCCGTGATGATGAATTTATTGTCATTGTTGTATGCTAGCTGTGTATGTACGATGTGGTCAATAATTATGTAACTATTGAAATCTCTGTGCAAAGCTTTACACTTTTGTTGTATGTACAATCACGTTCGCGCGATCATAAATTACACAAAATTCGTTACTTTCTTAAAAATAAGATAAATATGTAATAAAGATAATCTTCTAATTTTTATCATATACGTAGACATAAAAATAAGACGAATTTTCTAGCTTCATGTTGTTGTGTGAAGTAGATGTGAAAGTTGAAAAGTCATTTGATTGTGATGACTATTATCTGATGCGAGTAAAAAACAATTTTAATCTTATGCTTTATTTTATTTTATTTTTTAAAAATATAACACCACTAGATTGATGGAAAGACAAACCAAGGCTTTCTCCCGGGTTTTATGCTTTGGAGGCGAATAGCTTGTCTAATTTAGAGCTGTTACGCCCTCCCTGGTGTTTTTTCCTTTTCGTTTTTTGGTGTTGCTTTGTTATTTTTTCCCCCCTACTGTCCAAACAAAAAACAAAAAACAAAAACAAAAACAAACAAACAAGCCAAGGATTGCTGAGATGCAATTATCTCATCATATTTCTTTCGGTCCTATATATATATAAATCATCCTTTAAAATAAATTGGGATATATTTTTATAAGTTACTTTGCATGAAAAGGTTGAAACATTTATTACTTCATTCCACTTTTACCATTTTCAAATTTTTTAGGTAAGATAAGAGGTTGCATAAGAGAGAAAATGTTTTGCAAGATTTTGCATCTAGTAAAAGAAAAATTAAAAATTTTCTTTATTTTTTAGAGAATATCAATGATTTAATTACATTTGCTCAATTCTGATAAAATAATTAAAAGTGGCTTACACACATGTGACAGGTCATACGGTTTACAATCCCAGGATATGAAAAGAATTTTTTCATTTATACCCAAAAATAAGGAAAAAAATTTAGCTGGGATATTTAACAAAGTACACAATTGTTAATTTGTTGTCTTTTTTTTATATTAATTTTGTTATCATTATCATTACGTAATTTTATGGCACGTACGCAATCTCGTCCGGCCGGCCGGCCTTTTTGTCGCATTTTTGGCTGTTTTATGACCATATAGCTGGTTTGTTTATTTTCCAATGCAAATTTTAATGTTGTTTGGATGAATTTTTAATCTTTTTACTAGTAATATCTTTACAACAATTTGACTTCAAAACATTCCAATCTAACCAAACGATATAGAAGACAAGTAAAGGAAAAATGAAAATTTTGATTAGTAGAGATGAAATGAATCCTTCTACGTGATAAGGACAGATTTGAATAATAAGTATTTATGGAAGTTAAATTTTTTAATTTGACTCGATAATATTCAAACCCAATATAAAAATGTTAAATATAAAATAATTATATTGAAAACTTCATGCATCAATACATTTTAAGAAATATTAAATAAACATAATAGACTACATAAACTATACAATTGAATACTTTGATGAAAATTTATTGAACAGAATGGGTCAAATTTTATTTTATATATATATATATATATATATTTAAAGATTCTTGAACAGGGCTCTGCTTCTTTCAGGCCTCAGAAAGCCCAAGTAGTTTATGGGCCTAGCTAGATATATTTCATGGGGGTGCAAGTTTGACCCTTCTTATTATGATAAAAGGCTATCCCTCTATGGGACTTTTAGTACAAATAATGGCACGCGGGATCAAACTCGTCATCGAGGACTAGCAGGGGTGAACAGTGTGTCACTGGACAGTACGATTATTAGCACTCTGTAGATTATTTTCGTAATGACATCTTTTGCATTAGAGGAAAATATGCGAAACTCCTAGAGAATGAAAGTATATTGAGATTGGAGAGAGAGGGATAGAGTTGGTAAATTGAATTACGTGGACATCATCGAAAAATAATGGCGCACCCGTTGTAGTAGCAATAGCTATCAACAGGCACGGACAAGGGGAAGCAAACAAGTTAGAAGCACCCAGGTGATATATATCCACTTCGATCATTTCAACGTGGGAATTTCATTTTATCAAATCCAGAGGACAAAATAACCGGCCATGTGCACACAATCATTCATAAACGAAGAAGACGAGTCATTAAATTGAATCTCCATCTGATCTGCTATATATATAAACAAGCATGTTGAGTAAGTAGAAGCACACACTTGACAAGTAAATTGAATAGCTACTGCATCATCAAAGGAAGATGTCAAGTTGCCAAGGTTAATTCTTTCCCTAAAGCATTTTCTTATCTCTCTGCGTGAGAGCTGATTGAATAATGTGAATATACAGCAGGGAAGAGTTGGTGGGGACAGATGGAGAAGCAGCCAAGTGATAATAGAGAGGGAAAATCCAGCAGTGAGACCACCACCGTGAAAGAAGGATCTGTGGTCACCGGTGATTTCCGCTGCGACGACCGAGTGCGAGTCTTCGTTAACAACCGCCGCATTGTCACCCAAGCCCCCAAAATGGGTTACTATAATTATTATCATCGTCAGAGTGACCTTTGCTTTATTATTCCTGTATTCAATAAACGTTGCATATTATTCATTATCGATTATGGCAATTCCTGGCATGTTTTATAAATCTTTTCATTAGTTTTACGCTCACGCCTGCATTCCACTTTGTCCACTTGTCAATCCTTCTTAATTTATTTGGTCAGCTCTTATTAGTTCGCCCCAAAAAAAAATATTATAGTTTAAATTCTATTAATTTTCCGTCTTATTTATGTGACGTAAACTACATTTTAGAAATTATATATTTTAGTAATGCATGAGCTCAATGAATGATTTCCATGCATTAAGTTGAGATCTTGAATATTGATCCAAAAAAAAAATGTTGTTAATTGAATCTATCTGATCAATATATTCAAAACCAACCGGAAATGGGGAAAATCGATCTCTCATATATTGCTCAAGATTGTGAGGAAAAAAGAACAAAAGAAAAGGAAGTTATATATATATATATATATATATATAATCCGCAAGTTAACAACATCTTTTTTTTTTTTTTTTGGGTTAAGCAGACGAAAGCGATATCCTAATAATACATTTGAGCAGACCAGACTGTTGGAAAGAATGAAACTACTGTTTTCTTTTCTTTTGACCTTTACAATGACATATTCGAACGAACGTATTATTGGCAAACAAAGTTTATTCAAATGTGTGTTGTTAGCTTGAAAATAATGAGATTCATCCTGCAAGTTCCTTTTCAGCGGTCTAATAATTTTTGAAAATTTATCAACAATATTAATAACCAGTGTAACTCTGGCAAAAAAAATGAAAAAGAAAATAAGAGGGTACAACATTTTTCTTTTCCCCCCAACAATTTTAATATATAATAACTTCAACTCTTTAATCAGTCACAAAATATTTTAAACAATTGTAAATAAATGTCAATTTGACATTTTAATTTATTGATGACTATTATGTAAATAATTTTGTAGGGTACGTTTCTTAACTTGCTTGATATTTTTGTAAGCAAAACATTTTAATAAACCAGAGTACTGTTATGAACTTGTGGCCCCCCGAAAAATGATTCAAACAACTATGTGCAGCTAATTGAACGCTTTTTTTTTTTTAGTATTACATAAAGTGTCAAAAAATCAATTCATATGATTCTTTATTTGTAATAGGCTATTGTTCATATTCATGTAAAATTTGACAAGTTTTACATTAGTTATCAATGACTTAATACAATTTTCCTCTTCCTCCATTCGTGTTTGGAAGCGGTTATAAAACATAGGCAGAATTATTGTTGATATAATATAAGATGTTGTGCAATCTATATAACTTATTCTATCTAGTATAAAAAAACTTGTTATTTTTGTTATAATATTGTAAATAACATAACTTATATAAGAAAAAAAAACCTTATATACTCAAAGTAATTATTTATAATTAAATCAAGACATGCAAGTATTACTTGTCTTATAATAAATTCTTCCATTAATGGTTTTTTTTTTTTTTACTAGATATAAGAGAAGGGATGAAGCCTTTAGAATGTCTTGATGCAACCGAGAGAAAACCTCACTCGAGGATCCTCCAGCACTTGGCAACTCTCAAATTGGTCAATACTTCGTAGCTAGCTAGTCCAAACACAAAGTACCTTCCCTAGCTAAATACATGCTTAATAGTAATCTTTACATTAAAATCTAAAAACTCAAAGCATGTCTTAGCTAAGTATAGGCATATTAAACCGACTCAAGCATATCATAAAAATATATTACTAATATTATTAATAATTTAAAATTTATTTTTGAATTTAATTGTATAAAAATATATTATATATATAACGTTAAGTACCTAAATCTTTTCTCTTAAATAAATTAAATGGATTTTGCGCACTGCATAAAATTTGAGTAAAATTCTATTACTAATACGAGAATCTCAAGCCCAACTGAGCTAAAATTTGTTATTACAAAAAAAAAACATAAATAAATTGATAAAGTATTTAATATTTATGATGACATTGATTTGTTTGTTTCAAGAATTCGAAACAAAAAGTCATTGCCACAATCCTTCGAATAAACAATGGATGAGTTCGGCCGGGATGATCTATGTCAGCTCTTTCGTTTTATTAATGAATTTAAGATACCCAAGCAAAAGTTAAGAAAATAATGTCCTCCCTTCTGACTTTGAATAATATACCTGCTCAAATATAAACAATTCAAATGGCAAAGTTAGCCTCTTTAAAGGAAAAAATTAATAATTTAATCCTCATAATTTTAATTCAATTACAATTAAAATTTAACTAGCCAATATATTTCAGTGGGTCTTTCAAATTTCACTCATTTAACAAATCTATTCATACAATTTTAGAAATATATAATTTTTCATTGAGTTGTAACCGAAATATAAAGTATATGGATCAATAGATTAAATGATTGAAATTTGAAAAACCAGTGCCTATTTGATTTGGAGGTGAAAGTTTATACAATCTCATTTAAAGTTAGTATGAAATTCACTTACACTCTTTGGATAATTTTTTGATAACCTTAATCAATTGTGATTTATATTCTTTACCATGCGTTGAGTATAAGCTATTAGGAGGTGCTTCTACATTCAAAAAATCACATTTGAGTTTTTATTAAATCGTATTTGATAATAATTATAGAAAATTATAAAAATCACAGGTTTATATATATTTAAATGTGATTTTGATTAATACGATCCACACAGGACAATTTTTCTCATAATCACTTTTGAAAAAAAAGTACCCAAATAAAAATTATGATTTAACATCACTTTTAATTAATGTCATTTTTAAAAATTATGATTATCTATAATCTCATTTGTTCAACACTAATCCAAATGGGCACTTAAAAAACTCTTGTAATTTTATTGTAATTGAGTCATAATTAAATGGTTAAATAATTAATTTTTTAATGTTTAAAAAAATATTCAAACTTAATTTTGTTTAGTAGTAATACTTACGTATTCATCTCACAAGTATCTATGAATTACGGGGACTTTGATCATCCAAAGACGAACGATAACCACAGATTTTTATGCGCATTAGTTTTTCAGGCGAAAATATTAACGTGGGCTCTGGCCAATGTGGTGGGCCTGACTTGACTTGGGACCTTCGAATGAATTTCTTTTCCGTAACCGTCAGCCATCAATCAGCCGATAACTAAGTCAATCTGAATGACATGCCTGCAAGCTCATTTATTTATTTATTTATTTTGACCATTGCAAGCTCATCTAATTTGAACCTTTTGAATTTCATGCTTCCCGTATTTGTTTTTTTCCCCCCAGTTCAAAAGACATAGCCAGAGTTCTCTATCAAACCTTCCTCAATTCAATATCCCAACAAACAAGTAAATTCAAAATCGTTTATTCTCAAGAACCGTTTGTGTTTCATTATCAAAATTGATTAACAACATAATTATAACTTAGAAATTTATGGGGGTTGGAAACTTCTAGAAAATTGATTATTTGGAGTTGAAGAATATGTGACATAAAAAGATGTGACTGAATATAAAATTCACATCTTATAATTACACACTCCCCCCACCCCCAACCAAAAGAAACTCAATAAAATCAAAGGAAATGCTCAAATAGAGCAGCAACACCAAGTCCACAAAAAATAGAGAAACCTTAGCGAGAAAAAAAAAAAGAAGAAGAAAAATAAGTGGCAAAAGCATAGAGAAAACCAGATTCTTAAATTTAGGAAGCAAATGATTTAGAAGAGAAACCCAAGAGAATGCGGGCATATCAGCCTGATTCAAAGGGCACATTCTTATCATTGCAGTGCATATAATCCATACAGTAGTCTAGTAAAGAAAACTTGGGTTCCACTGAAAACTGCAAACGCTTAGTGACTCACCAAGATTAATAAGGAAATGCACACTACAAGTTGGGCAGGCTGAACACATTCTTTTCTCTTCAAACACTTTAATTAATGGGGGACAAGCTAAATCTCTGTCAAAGCCCAAGAGTGGTACTCAAAACATCGATACATCTTGCAAAATCTCATTCACACCATCCAAACATATATCATCATGATTGCGTTCAGAATATCCCAAGCAAAATAGATTATGCCCTAGACAAACCAGTACATTTCTAAGCAAATTCAACTCAACGTTACACAAAATTATAAAGGAACAACCTGGACTCAAGTGGAACTCATCTCAAATCATCATAAATTCTACCAGCAGATGATTGACACATAGACTCACAATAACAAAGAGAAGATAAAAGCCACAAGAAATTAATTCCGATAAAAGAGAAGCTGTTCATATCAGCAAAAAAGCGGTTTGCAAGCACTCAGGCAAGGCCTTATAATTACACTCCCTACTAAAAAACCTATAAAAATGCTTCAAAAAAAAAAATCTATCTACATATATAAAGTATATAATTGTTTCTGTTCATTTCTGGTTGGATGAACAGTATCAATATATTTTTTAAAAAAATAGTTTGTGCAATGAAAAATCATGTGAAGGCTCGCAATGAAAAATAAATGTAAGACCTATGATGAAAGATAATAGTAGATAAGAGATTTATAGGAAAAATGATTGGTATATTGTATAATATTTGTTGATTGACTTTCATATATGTACGTATAAAATAATAAATTAGAGGATAAAATAAAAAGTTAAACAACAAAATAAAATAAAACGTTTTATTATATTGGTTGAATTTTAATTTATATAGTATGTAGCAATTTAATTGAAAAGTATTTTTCCTTCAATATCTTGACAGATATAATTTCTATTGTCAACTAAACCTATTTCTTATACTTGCAAAAAAAAAAAGATATGAAGTAACAAGTTTATTATTAATATATAAAAGTATATTATGGCTTATAATAAAAATATTATTGCAATTATGTACTTCAAAATTAATCATATGCGATTGATGAATTTATTTTCATTACGCACTTCCTAAACATCTATTAATTAGTGGTTGTTTTTCTTTTCATAGGCATATATATATGATTAATAAATAGTATCATAATATCAATTTTTTATATTGGCTTCATTTAAAATCTTTATTTCATAATTAGTTTTACTTTTGGCTATAATTGTGATCTATAAATACTATTATCACATAAATTATAAGGCATGATTCATTATATTACCTGTTCTATTTTTCTATGCTTGGCCCAACAAATTCTAAAAAAGAATAAAATAAGTTAATTTTATTTTGCAGGATTTTAGAATTAGCTAATTGTTATAATTTTTAATTTACATGGAACAAATAGTGAAATATCTAAAATATTTGTTGAGGGTAAAATTTCTTTCTTAATTAATTATAAATAGTAGAACTTAATGAAAAAAAATATTTTTAACCCAATCTCAAAGTTATCCCTTACATTGATTGAAGGAAGAACATGAGTAGTGTTGCCTCCTTAAATCCATATGACAGTAATATATTTTAAAATGTTAAAAAAAATCCTTACATGTAGTACCTAATAATTTTTGAGGATGATTTTTTGATGCCTACATATCAATATATATATATATATATATATATATCCCATACATTGCACAAACCAAAATCTAGTTTTGCTCTCGCATTGTTTGCACATGAGCACTTACCATAGAAAGCTATGGGAAGGCTCCCGTATACCTTATGTAATATATATATATATATATATATATATATTTCTTCCAAACAAATTTTCTTTGGTCATGAAAAAAAAAAATGCCAGCGTACGAGATTCACATATTATGATAATTCCACTCCTTTAGCTTCCCCCCCCCCCCCCCATGTTCTCTCTAAATATACCACACATGTAAAAAAGTCAATTTTTTGAAGGTAAAGTTTTATTTGGGTTCAAATCTTGACTTATTTTCGCCGTGCACAAGAGGAAGTTTCTATCAATAATTAAATGCTTCACATTTTAATCTGTTTAATTTCTAATTGATATTAGTAATGAACAATAACGTGGTATTTTTCAGGTAAAAAAAAAAAAGAGGTATTCTTGAACTGATAAATTTACTTTGTACTATAAGCCACTGATTATTATTTCCTTGGGAAAGTTAAGAGTTCATTTAGTTAAGAGTTTAGAACCTTCGTTTAGGAGAATTGCGGTCAAATTGCTCCGCTAATGTACGTGTTAGTTAATATTTGTCCAAATCCAAGCTTGATTAACACGCAACTCCCGACGATAAGCACGCAAATATCCGAGTATATACGTATCCACCTAACTCAAATTAAAGAATTAGGCACAATTAATTTCATATAATTTGTATACACAGTGGACTATATATACTTATATATGCAGTCACACACGTCACGGAAGCGGATTAACTTTATGATCTCTTAATCAAAATCTAACAATCCCAATCACCTGAACAATAACTTCAAATTTGTTTTTTTTTTAACAGAAAAAAAATCAGAAGTACAAAAATTATCTTCCTTCAACTCTACAAACAAGAGATGTTGTGCTTATAACAAAACCTTAAAGCAGGCACATGAAACGCTGTATATATAGACTGCAATATATACATACAATCTACATGCTGCGCAAAATTTTACTGCCATACATGATACAAATTAAAACAGCTAAAAAGAGAGCGCGAGCATACACACACACACACACACACACATGGAGAGACCTCAACGGCTCAACTTCTTAAGAGGTTGAGCTTTCTATTATATTTTTCTCACTTAAAATGCAAAAACACAAATAATAAAAAATAAAGAAACAATCAATAAATCAATTATCTTTGTGTGCCTTTGAAATTGTTGGATGAACAAGCTAGTTGGCTCCGATATAACTTCAATGATTGGCTGCCAAGCCTAATGGGACTATGTGATGAGGATAGGCAGCAGCAGCATGATGGCGGAAAGCGTTGCCGGCAACGTTCATTTCATTCACCGGAGGGCAGCGGTTCCCGCCAGTTCCGGGGATGTATGTGCAACCGGAAGGCCCAGATGGAGGAACAGGAACTTTCTCAAGAGACTGCATCCAGAGTTGTTTCTCCATATCCAAAATCCTACCAGCCTGATTTTGTTGGACATGAACTAGGGAAAGAAGTAGCAGCAAAAGAAGCTTGAGAAAAACACTCATTGTGTATTCAAAAATAGGAACACATACCAATGGATGAAGCATAATCACAATACGGGTTTAAGTATTTATAGTGATGACAGCCTTGATGCTTGGTGACTTTTCCAGGGATTCTGATTGGTTCAATGATTTTGACTTTTGAATACCAGCTGAGACTCAATCTGTTTGTTTTTGTACGTAAAATTTTCTACAAAATTTGTTCGGTTATAACCTGGAACCTGCATTGAAGAATTTCAGTTTAACTTGACCTTGAGATTCATTCTGCATTCCACGTTACAATTAAAAGATCTTTATCCATTAATGTCAATTTTTGAAAACAGCAATTCAAAATATAGTCTATTTGTTTATGGAGTCGCCGGGACAATATTCCTGAACATAGGCGTATCGAACACGTTTATTAAATAATACTAAAGAAATTAAATGGTCGCCGGTCAGTTACTGAAGGATTGTGCTCCCTGGATTTGTACCCAACTCGTGATAAAAATGTCCCCGTAGGTTTGCATGAAGGATTTCTTGGCTTATGAATCCATTATTGAATGAATGGTAGAATTTGAATTCGATGCATAATTGGGAGCGAAGCCAAAAACCAGAGTGCCTAAAAAGTTTGAATAACATGACGCCATGCATATGAAAGCCAGTTCCTGTTTTGTAACTTTATATACACAAAGGCCATTAATAACCTAAAATAATAAACAATTACAATCAATGGTTGTGTTTTGATGGATGAATTTAAGTTAAAAATTTAAATTTAAATTTTCATATTTAAAATCTCACATTTAAAATTTATAAATTTTAAATTATTTGTTTAGATGATAGAAAAAATTTTAAATTATAATATTAAATTCTTTGTTTAAATGTAAAGTGAAATTTCAAATTTCAAATTATATATTTGAATTTCAAAGAAATTTAAAAAATTAATTAAACTCGATAATTCGAATGGCCAACTACCAATTGAATTAGACAAACAAAGCCGAATGGGACTATGGCATCAGTGACGACTGAGATGAGACCTTCGACTTCCATTGGGACCGGACTAACATAATGACGAGGACGAGACGGCCGACTTCCATCGAGATTGGACCAAACGGTGACAACATGGATTGGACGATCGACTTCCACCAGGATTGAACTAACAGCTAAACAAGGACGGGATGACCAATTACCACTAAGACCAGATCAGTGACGACGACGGGCACCAGACGGTCGACTTTCACCGGCACCGGACCCACGACAGAGATCGGACAACCGACTTCCACCGAGACTAGATCGGACCAACGGCCATGACGATGGCAACCAAATTGAAGGGATGGCTATAGAAGGCAACCGTTCAGTCCTCGCCCAATGGAAGTTGGATTTTCAGTCTTCATCATTGCCATCAGTCCAGTCTCATTGGAAGTCGATCGTCCGATCCTTGTCATGGCTGTCAGTCTGGTTTTAGTGAAAGTCAACCATCCGGTCCCCGTTGTCACCTTCAGTCCGGCCTTGATGGAAGTCAGCCGTCCAGTCCCGATGAAAGTCAGCCATGCCACCTAAATCAATGGTGGCAGCTTGTTTTCATCAATTTTAATGGTTTGATCCAATTACCGTTGATAGGTCAATCAAGCCCTCATGTATTTAGATCAAATTACAAAAGAACTTGAGTTCGAATTTAAAATAATAGAAGTTTTAAAAAAATTTCAAATCACAAAGAGATTAAAGGAGAACTTGAATTTAAATTTGAATCAAATCTAAATTCATATATTTTTAATTATTCAAACAATAAATATGAGTCAAATTCAAATCTATGTACATCCAAACATAGCATTAAAGGAACTACGCATAAATGTTCATACCGCAACTCAAACTCTCTCCACGGAATGAGCTTTTAACTAACAGCTGAGAGGGTTCATCCACAATTTTTTTTTTTTTCCCTTCTCGACGTGAAGATTATCTCATGCTGTGCGCTAGAATGTCACGTTTGGAAGTTAAGGGGAAATTAGAACGAAGAATATTCCTCGAGAGAGAGAGAGAGAGAGAGAGAGAGTATTGAAAACTTTATCTTGAATGGAGTGTTCCCTTCTCTCCAGAATGCCATGAGAAAGATTTTGTGGTGAAAGAGAGCATATTGGATATACTTGAATGCGAGCCTACGCATTCTACTGTAGCTTCAAGCGAATAAGCTGAACCAAGAAGGCGGCATGTGAATAAAGTAAAGCTTAAGAAAACGCTAGAACCAAATAAACTCGGAACAATCTTTACAAAATGTGTGCTAATCAAAGGGGATTTCAGCCTCACCCCAATCTAAAAGACCCAACAATTTCCTCGAATACATTATTACACCTCAGTGCCCGCTACTTTGGGGACAACCTCCATCTTTTGCCTCTCTAAGGACCGTTTGACGGCCGGAATACAGTATACCCATTGACACCGCATACCATATTTGAATAATCTGGGTAGTATGGGTGCCCATCATTCTCACAGTTTCTCATGCCAAGATATGGCAGATCAGAACCAGCCACCTGCCATTGGTTTTCAATCAACCCATCCACTTGCCCGTTTAAATAGGGCAGTGTGCTTCTCTGCGGAATATAATCCCCAACCGTGTCAAAACGTGTGCTCGATGGGCTGTACTCTCTCTGAAACCTATGTTCATGATAACTCCGTGACCGCTCAAACCTGCAAGAACTGGTTGAGGATCCTAAATCATCACGTGTACCCAAGTCCGTGGGAAAAGTGAACTGCCGATTTAGCAACTGTGGTCCATTCCTGATAGACTGGAAGACTGAGCTTTCCTGGGCTACGCTCCCCATACCATGTTCATCATCAAGCAAGTCATTGATGATATCAAGGTGCGGAAACTCATCCGCCAACAAACCTTGGGCATGGCGGCCTGATGTGCAAGCTGGAAACTCACTGGCGATGTTGCCTAGAGATCTACTGTTTATCAGCTTGTACATGTCAAGCTTTTGAACATCATCAAGTGGGGAAGGCGGATCATGGTGCATGCTCCTGGTGCCTTCTCTTTGAGAACTCTCAATCCACTGGGACCCATTCTGTAAAACATCTCTCGTGGCCATGCCAAAAGGAACCCCCTGATGGCCAGCATTAGAATCAATTCTGTCAGAGCCCTGCGGCAAGAATATTGATGACGAGGATGCCAAAGAAGGTGATTGTGAAAAGACAGATGATGAGTTAGCTCCTGAAGTTGAAGAATTGGAATGAGGGACACTGGCTGCGGTTGAGGCAACAGAATTGCCCATTATGGCATTTCTGTAGGACTGGGGAACATAACTGTGGGTAGCCGGTGATGGGTCGGGACCCAACCTGCCAACTGCACTCACTGAGCGTGCAATTGGAGGAGCTGTTTGAACCATAGAAACAACAGGAGCAGTTGGCCTGGGAGCAGGAACTAAAGGAGCACTGGAAGGCCTTGACAGTATCGGGACTTGTGATCTTTCACTACCTTTAACAGTTGCTGTCCTTGGTATCTCAGTTTTGGGCACAATAATTGTCGGGGATGCAGAGGCGAAGGTTGCAGAAGCATCTTTATCAGACTGCAGGGCGCCACTTGAAGATGCTTTTCTGACATGGACATTATCTATGGTAGCACTAGTCCGATGTTCTAACTTTACAGGAACAGGTGGTGGCAGACTTCTTGGCGGACTATTAGGTGAGGATGATACTGCTGATGTCTTCTCTTTATCAATGTCAACCTGTTCTTTAATGCTAAGTTTCTTCTGCAGTGAAAAATCTTCTTCCTATCATTAGAAAAGAAAATGCCACTGGCATCAGGTTCAGAACATAATCACTAGAACAGGAGGGTAAAAAAAAGGAAACTTCAAAATAAAATTTGGCATAAATTAATTTACTAGTAAAACTTCCAAGATAAAATTGGGCATAAATTAATTTACTAGTAAAAGATAGCAAAGTTAATACAAAATACAGTCAACATGGACCCCAAAAAAACTGAATGAACATTCAATGTTACTGCCATAACAAATTTAACCCCTTTCCAGACCATTCTAGGTGTCATTTCTTCATGAACAGAATTTTACAGCAAATCTCTACTTGGGCACTGCTTGATGTAGCACAAGTCAGTAATGAAAGAAATGAAAAGTTCGAGAAGGATCCCTATCAATTTTCGCCTCTATGCACCTGATAGGAATGATGGAAGAATTGGAAAAGTACATCTCTGTCCTTTGCAATCAGGAAATAGATATACCAAACACCTCTCGCTATGATTACCAGACCCAACAAATCATTGCACACGATGGGGAATGAAAATATCACCAAATTGTTTGAGCTTATTCCTTGAGCATAAAATTATTTTATCACGTTTTAATTTAAAAAGAAAGAAAAAAATAGGTGTTTCATCTCTCCCTTCGAATTTCAGTCAGACATAAAAGACCCTTTATTAAATCTTTTGAAGTTGGCCTCCATAAGCAGACTTCTAATTGGAACAATAGATTAAACAAATTTTCAAAATATCTCATGATAGAGTAATGCTTATGTAGAAGAGCAATAAAAATCTGCGAACATTCCATAATATCTGTACTAGATACACGTGTTTAAACAAAGGCAGTGATAAGGCCACCTTTTTCACAACATGATGCTCAAGCAACTTCATCCTGTCCTGTGATGAGGTTTCAGCACCCTCACACTCAGATTCACCAACCTTGCTACTTCCTGACTCTTCATTAGCATCCCCAGAATCTGGAGCAGAACCAGATGGCTGAATCTCAATCTCACTTGACCAACTCCCACCATCACTTGTAGTTTTACCCCGTTGATTTTTGCCTCTACACATAAAAAGTGGAAGCCGTTATATTATCGCCTATCATTGATATTCATCTAACCTGGAGAAAAATTAGGCTATATACTTACCTGCTAGGTGACTTTTGGACTTTGTGGTTTGTGAGAGCATTTTGCTTATAGGGAGGAGCATTCATGACCGCTGATGGCATCGAATCAGCAGAACATGTTGAAGAACTATCATCCATCACCGAACTGCCCCTTTTCTCAGTGCCACCATTTTGTCCCGATGAAAGACCAATGATACCAGTGCCGCTAGCCTCGGCTGGTGGATGAACTTCTGATGCATCAGTGTCCCAATTAACAAGACAAGCATCTCTGTCTTCTGAAT